ATAAGACTTATCCCAGAGGCTTTTGTTTGCCATAACAATGTTGAAAGATGAAAAATTTTGAGTGGCCTGAACCAGTCTGGCCTCCCAGGAAATCCCTTGTTTGACCCAGCAGCTCTCAGGGGTGACTGTCCCTCCACTGGTTTACCATCTCAGTGTATTGCCTGGGGTGGGTGGCACCTAGTTTCTCTGCTTTGAGCTAGTCCTCGGCTGAATCTCGCTTGCCTGCTAAACTCTAGCTTTCCACTTGCCTTCCCTCCACCCTCAGCCTCCTGCAGACAGAAGCAGAAAATTACTTGAATTCTGTGTGTGCTGTGAGACAGCAAATTCCCATGAGTTTGGGGTTGGTGTGGGGAGTGGGTAAGGTTCACGCATCCTGCAAGTAGTATCACTTGCAGCTGAAGTGCTTCCTTCAGGAACTGTCTCTGTTTTAACAGCAGTTATCAAATAACTTCCCAGGAACCTCTGGGTCAAACTTTGTCTGCAGCCTAAGTGCTGATCGACTGCCTGCCCACAAGCTCTGGGAATGATCTACTGACACTGCAACTTTGATGTACATTGAGGGTTGCAGTGGGGTACGGTGGGACTGGAGCTCGAGACAGAAGTTTTTGACAGAATTCTGGTAGCTGGGGCTAAGCAGGGAGATTGTTTCTCTGTGCGCAGCACTGTGGGGTCTTCCCTTAGTCCTCCCCTCCATGTGCCGTGGCACACACTACCGCTCTTTGCAAGAGATGTGGTTTTAAGTGACCTTTGTAATTTTAATAGTGGATATCAGATGGTTTGAAAAGTTTCACCCCAAATCGCAGTATACAAGAGTAGGTAAAGATGTTTATGTTTGTAAGAAGGTATTTCCTCTTCCAAATTAATGTTTTCTTGGAATATAAGGATGCCCGGGCTGAGTCAGACAGGAATTTGTTTCAGCAGATGTGGAGGTGCCTGATGTTAAAACAGGGACAGCATGTGATGTTACTGCTCTGGTATCCTCTTCTGGTTTCTGGCAGTATGTGACTTTCAGGGGCTCAAATTTGTCTTCGCTTTTAGTTTCATGACAGGTTTTCCATCCTAGAAGCGATTTGATAGCTTTGTTTTTGTAGAGATGTACTCTGTGGGCCATCAACATGGGCTGTGGCAATGAGTTTCACAAGTAACTCTCCATTCTGGGGAAGTACCACCTTTGGCAGATTTTAAATCTTATAATTTTCTTGGCAGTCCTTAGGTATTATGAGAAACAATCATGACAGCTAGTCACCGTCTCACTGCACAGGTCCTTCTTTAATGAGTTGAAGTCCTGGTCTGTGTAGTTGCTCCTGACATTGAAGGTCTGAAATATCTAACTGCCTGGTTTTAAATGAAAATTATTACATAGGAAAAACATTAAAAGCATAATTGAATATAAGGAATTAAAAGGATTTGTATTAAAAAAGCATGTAAAGAATTTTATTTGTATTTTACTATGCATTTAGATAACACTTCATGAAGAATGTAAAGAAAAACAGCACATATATGTATGTAAATGTTTTGAGAAGCAATTTCGTTTCAGATGTTCAAGAGACACATTCTTGAGGTAGCAGTCTCACAGATTCATTACACCTATTCCGTTGGATACTGTGATGCAGTAGGTTGTTCTTAATGATACAGTCATTATGTTGAAAGCTTAGTAATAAGGTAATGAAATGAACTTAATTCCACAATTATCTTTTTCTGACTGAAATTTTTGATTCGAAATCTTTGACAGAATACGTTCATAGTCATAGGAAATTCAACAGTGCCTGTATTTTCTCATCACAAGCAAACCATATCTGGTACTTTTTACGTTAATGATTCCATTGGTTTGCAGAACAGAGGTGTGCAGGCTGTTGAATTTTATAGTAATTTCCATTTAAATATATGAAAACAATAGGCCAGCTTTTGTGGTGCATTTTATCCTTATTTCTGTGGGCATTCCCACTGAAGAATACATTTTTGGTACTTCTGGGTGAATAAAATCATAATTACTGTTCACACAAACAGAAAACCAAACATCTTTGGAGAGGAGACGTAACCTAATAGCACTTTCCATACATGCAAGAAAGAAACAGAACTACATTTGTAGGAACAAAATACTTTCCTGATTTCATGCAGCACACAAACTAAGATTCTTCATCAGAACTGATGTTCTGATTACTGTAAAATAATTACTTGAAATATTTAGGAAAACAGTGTCCAAATTAATTCCAATTACTTTTTTGTGGTAGCGCTCAGTGTTTACAGCGGTAGCTTAAATCGCCTGCATATGGCTAATTGCCTATAACAGTGTTTGTTGTTGTGGTGCCTCTTACCGCTCTGATGTCTTGTTTTTCAAATGGGAAGGTGCGCCCATAACTTTACATGCAGGAGGAAATCTCCTCTGAACTGAACAGAATTGCTTCTGTGAGTAAAACCTGTGGTGTAACTAAGTGTTTGCAGGATCACAATATGTAGCAAATAACTCTGGGAAATCTGTAATAAAAGCAGTGGAACCACAAGTGCCTGTCTCTGCTGGCAAGAAATGTTAAATTTTAGCTCTCACATGACTTGGATGAAACAACATATCGATTCATTAGGAGTGGCTGGACTGAAATGGAGGCTGGGTGTTAGTTTTTTTTGGCGGAAGTTTAGGTAGGGGTTGTGTTTTGTTTGAGGTTGTTGTGGGTTAGCCGCTGATTTTTGCTGGATTCTTTAGCCATATATCTGTCAGAGGCCCTTTACTGTACGAGATAGGCATGTTTTTGCATGTTTTTCATGTATTTGATTTTAAATTTAAATAAATCAAATAAATGAAGATTCACTGCGTGGGCCAAATTTCCTGCTGGGTAGGTTGGCCCACTTAACAACTGTAAATCACACCGGCAGAGAATTTGGCTTTGCCTTCTTGAGATATGTGCTCCAATGTCTTCAGGGCCAAAGTCAACTTCAGGTATTACCATGAAGAATTATAAAATTAAGTGGAACATAAGTGAGTATAAAGGCCCCAATTCTGGAAACACCTGAGGTTAGAAAAGCATGTGATCTCATGGTTAACAATAAATCTATTATGTATGTGTTTGGAGCTGAGCCAGCTATAGCAAAATAGATCCACAATTACTTGCCCACGTACCCATCATAATGGAGTGTAAAATGGGTTATGCAAAAAAAGTGGGGAGGAAGGCTTGTACAACTTTTTTGCTTCCTAAAAGATGGTTGAATTGGGGTTCAGCTTTGATTCCTCAAGCAGTTAATGCCTTTAGGTCAGTTTGCTCTCCTCCTGACTGTTTTCAGTCTGAAATAAAACAAAGCAAAACATGTTTTTCTTCCCCCGAATGAAAGTCAAATGGAAATAAATGCTTTTGTGGGTTCTTAGGGAAAGGAAAAACAGTGAAATGGAAAGTCTCACTTTGCATCAGTCCTGAAAACAGAGATGGAGAGACAGCGGCCTTTATCTGAAGCCGAGTGGTTACGTGCCACTCGCAGTGTGGGAACTTCAGCTGAGAACTTTGTCAGGCATGAAATTGCCGCAGATCTTCTTTGCTGGCACTGAAGAGTGTGGTTGGGGGAGGCTGTTCCCAGCCTTTGCTGTTGGTGCTGCTCCCCCTTCATGAGATACTTAAGTGTGTTTTGGGTCCCAGACTGAAACCCAAATACCCTTTTTCCCCTGTGAATGATGGTATCATTCCCTCTTTGGCTCACTGTCTGTTTGGGGTTTTTTGTTGCTGTTGTTGTTTTTCTTTCCTGTTCTACTGAATATGTTTACAGACTGATAGGACAGAGAAGAGTGTGAAATATATGTGGTACAGTGCTCTAGCTGGCCCTAGAGTCTTTTTCTGTGTAGTAGAAGGCACGGGTTTCCTCCTGAGGCAAAGAGAATTACATCCAGGTCTTCCACATCCTCGTTTCTGGACTTCAAGCAGAAGTCACTAACATCAAATTTGTATTGCTGTTAATAAATATTAAACAAGTCATTCTGCTGTACATTTCAGTGGTTTGTAATTGATGAACTGTTGGTTATTTTCTATGGGTGCTGCTTTGCCATTAACAGGTACAAATTTATTATAAACTTTTATAGAAATATGTACTGTATTGATGGTAAAAGTTATGTTCCATGGCAAAGTCTTCCAAATGAAGCCCAAAAAAAAACTAGGTAAGAACATTTTAGAAGTTCTTTTCAGTGATGCAGAGACCAAGACATATCAGTGACTTGAGAAATAAAATTATTTTCCTTATTCCCCTGAAGTCTTATATTCAGCCATAAATGCAATCTTCTGCCATCTTTTACCAGGGTTTTGTGATACTGTTAAGTCTGCATTTTTGATCTTAAGCTCTGTGAAGTAAAGACAGACACCGATTTTATGGTCTAGTTGCTTAATGCAACAAGTTGTAGCTGCCTGAATTCCCTCTTCATCATGTCTATCAAATGGCAGTGCAATGCCATGATATCTATGGGAAGTGATATAAATTCAAGTTAAGATTGACATTAATCTTGAAAAGAGCTAGGAGATGCACATAAATCTCAAAGGTTCTGTTTATATAAACTAGAATTTTAGTGTATGTGCATGGGCATGGGTGCACATGTGAGCACAGTTGTGTGTGAATGCATGTAAAAAATTTGCCTGTGGGTTTTGGGGTTTTTTGAGGAATCTGATCTATCTGTATTAAAACAAACCTTGTTTGGCAGCTAAAAATGAAAAAAAAATTAAGCAAACCTATTTAATTTAACCAAAGAAACCCTTCTACATGTGCTGATGTCCTAAAATCCTTACTGTGATAGCACTTGGGCTGGCAGTGCAGAGTTGTGACCAGAGAAGGGCAGGGTGTAGCAAACAACCCGTGCTTTTCAGGAGAACTCTAAACGTGTTTATTGAACCACAGTGACAGAAAGAACCTCTCCAGGAATCAGGCAAACATTCTTCAAGAGCACTAGATCTCTTACTAGTATACATGTGCAAAAATAGCTGTGTACGTTATTATATTTTAATAACGTGTATTTCTGGGTTTTGTTTTCTCTGCAGGTATGGGAAAATTGTATCCACTAAGGCAATTCTTGACAAAAACACCAATCAGTGCAAAGGTATGTGCAAAACACCCGCTCTATGAGTTCATTGTCTGTCTGAATGATTGACTGGTGGCTTGACTGCCAAGGCTTTGGCTCCAACTGTGCAATCAACATAATGTACGGTGTATTACAAACATATTTAATAATGCTAAAGCTTTGAATTGTGTTTCCAGTAACATTGCTCATTAATTTTTTTCATTAACAAACAAAATGAAAATCACAAATCAGAACAAGTATCAAATTGCTTCAGCAGAAAAGTAAATTACCTTCTAACCACATAGTGCTGTCTGATTTGAATGATATCATCAGTGATGCAAATTGATTTCCCATATAAAAATGAGAAACCTTTGGGAAAAGTTTGCCAAGCAAAGACTGGTATATTTTTTTTCTATTTTTGTGAAATCTTGGCCTACGCTATTGGAAGAAGAAAATATTCTTTGTGACACAAATAGATGCACAACTTGCAATAACAAGACATAAAAATGATTCCTCCTCTAGTTTTATGTTTTTAATTCTTTTGCTAATGTATGAAAATATTTTTTAATGAATTATAGCGTGTTTCATGTGTATGTATAGCTATATTTGCCTAGATAAATAGAGTAACATATCTAGTAGTATCTCAGGACTAGAATTGTTATTTATTTACTAGTTTGAAGAGCCATCATAGAGTCACAGGATCATTTCAGTTGGCAAAGACCTTTAAGATCATCGAGTCCAAGCGTTAACCTAGTGATGCCAAGTCCACCACTAAACCATGTCTCCAAGCACCACACCTACATGTCTTTTAAATACTTCCAAAGCTGGTGGCTTAGCCACTTCCCCGGACAGCCTGCTCCAGTGCTTGACAGCCCTTTTGGCGATGCACTTTTTCCGAACACCCAACCTAGAGCACTGCAGTTGTGCAAGTCATCCTACCATGTTTCCATTATGGCGTCTATGTTATTGTTTTCTTGCTGCACAGTGGCCTCCAGCTCCTCCTGTTTGTTGCCCATGCAGCGTGCATTGCTGTAAATGCACTGCAGATGGGTTACTGATCCTGCAGCCTTCTGAGGGGTGAAGTTCTAACCCTTACATGACCTTTCCTGGGCACTTCCATGGTTTCCGACACGTTGACCCTTGCATGTTTGTTGCCTCATGGATCTCCATCTTCTGCCTCCACTGAGAGTCCGTGGGGGAGAATCTGTGCTTTGAAACGGTACAGTAGCTTTAGGCTACTGATACACAGAATCCTTTTGGAGTAGTAAGGTCTACTAAAGTGGATTCTTCTGATAAGAAGCACATTCTGGATGACATTTCTCTATGAATAGTAAAAGAAAAAAGATGGTAGTACAGGAATATCTTACAACTGGCCAGATAGGGTGTAAAGAGAAGCAGCAGTTAGAGACATTGGGGAAATTAGGAGATGGGCCAAAATTCTGTCAGCTGTACTGGTGATGTTCTTGCAGTTTGTAGAAGCGTGTGCCGTTATTATTGCCTGCCACAAGAGCATTCATTAGCTGCTGAAGAGAAAACTTCACCAACATGATTGATCCCAGGCCATCATTAGAAGTGATACTGCGATGTGTTTGCTGGACATGCATTTTCATTCCTTGGAGCACTGTTCCCGCAGGCTTCTGATAACATCGCTCTGTCTGTGTTTCTTTGAGTTTGCAGTTTCAAAGTTGGGAAGAGATGGGCATGCCTGCCTCTGGCTACTGCATGATCAAGAGATTCGAGCTTTGGAGACAAGGAGCAATGTTGGGAGCTGTATGGAGAGGGGGACTTGCAGCAGGATGGGACTACAAAGGGTCTGAGTGGATCAAATGGGCTCTGAGCTGGTTTAACAAGGAGGATGAATGCTGTGGTGGGATGGGAAAGGCTTTGGGGTAGGAGCATTTGCAGATAGAGCTCTGGATCCTAGACTTGGGAGACCTGGAGGGGCCTGAAATGCTGATGTGAGAGATGGGAAATAGGAAGTCTGTGACAAGGTAGATGAGGATTTCTCTGGGGCCACTCTCCACTGTCTTACACTCCAACTAAGACCTTCCTTTGGGAATGGGGACATGTAGACCTTTGACTGTCTTCCCACTACCGTACAAGACTGAGGTGTTCTCTGTTCTCTCATGTGTCAACTCCATCTTTTTTTCATCTGAAATCTGTCCGTCTGAAGTGGCAACACAAATCAAGCAGATGGAGTTGGATTTGAACTGGGTTGTATGTTTAATAATAAGGTGAAATCCATGGGAGAGAGAAATGTGTTTGTCTCTGCTGATCTTGGTTGTCCGAGACCACTGTGTTGTCAGTGTAGATGCTTCAACTGGCTGCTTAAAGGTTGGTAGAAAGAGTCTGGAGGAAGCATGCTGAATGATTGTTCCATTTTTAAATGCATCTTTTTCTGGTAACCGCTCCACAAATGTGCTACTGTGTCATCAGAACTTCCCTCTGTTCCTGTTGCTAGCAGTAAACAAGGAAAGGAATCGTAGAATCATGGAATGTCTTAAGTTGGAAGGGATCTTAGAGATCATCTAATCCAACCTCCCTGCCATGGGCAGGGATGCCCTTGACTAGACCAGGTTGCTCAAGGCCTCATCTAGCCTGGAACATCTCCAGGGAGGGGGCATCCACAACGTCTCTGGGCAATCTATTCCAGAGTCTTGCCACCTTTGTGATGAATAATTTCTTTCTAAGATCCAATCTAAACCTGTTCTCCTACGATTTAAATCCATTTCACTTTGTCCTGTCACTGAATGTTCTTGTAAAAAGTCCCTCTCCAGCCTTCCTGTAGGTATGGATGCTTGTGAAACACAAAATGTGAAAAGATTATAAAGAATACAAATGGTAGAATTTTGATAAAGAAAAACATCTGGGTTTGGTGTTCTTTATATTATAGTTAGCTTTGAGATTATTGTAGTTAGGGCCAATAACAGTGAGTTGGAATTTTGTAAAAGGTTGCTTTCACACTGTTGTGTTATACTGTAGGGCAGAGATATTTATTTGTACTTTCAAAGATGGATCTTTATGACATAAGTGGTGCCATTAAAAGATCGTAAACATAATTGGATTTATTAACAGTATGCTTTGTGGCATAAATAGAGTAGACGTTTTCCTGCTTTAAATGCTGACTACAATTTCCTTCCTCTTCAGCAAGGCTGTCAAAAAATAAAAAAGCTTCCCAGGAATCCGAAATGGAAGAAACCTAAAGAGGTCAGGACCTGCCTTGGGGCAGGATCAGCTCTAACCCACTGCTGAGGGGTGTTTCTGTAACCTTTGCTCAAAGGCCTCCAGCAGTGGAGATTCCTTGAGCCCCTCAGGCAGTCTATGATTGTGTTCCCTATCTTCAGTATAATGAAGTGCTTCCTAATATCTAACCTTGATGCAACTTAAGCCTATTGCTTCTTTTCTTATACCCAGTGGACACGCAGAACAATTTACTCCTTTCCTCTTTGCAGCAAACATACATATTTGAAGACTGCTATTTGTCTGCCTTATCTTTTCCTTAGACTAAACACTGGTCCTTTCACTTTTCCCTTAAAGGCAATTTGGTTTAAGTTTCTGATTATATTGCACTTTCCTGGTCTGTCTAATTAGCTCACTTCTTACTTGAAGACCTTAGAGCTGGGCACAGGGTATCAGGCAGCCTAAATGTTGCCATTTTACATAGCGTGGAGAGGTTGCGTCATTTGTCTTCTCTGTGATTATGTGACTCACCTTGTCATGGCTTAACCCCAGCCGGCAGCTCGGCCCCATCCAGCTGCTCGCTCACTCCTCACCCTGATGGGATGGTGGAGAGAATTGGAAGGGTACAAGGGAAAACTCGTGGGTTGAGATAGATTTTAAGAAGCAGAGCAAAAGCTGCACTCACAAGCAAAGCAAACCAAGGAACTCATTGACCTCCTCCCATGAGCAGGCAAGTGTTTAGGCATCTGCAGGACAACAGGGCTCCATCAAGTGTAACAGTGACTTGGGAACACAAACACAATCACTTGGAACGTCCCCCCTTCCTTCTTCTTTCCCCCAGCTTTATTCACTGAGCATGATGCCATCAGGTCTGGGATATCCCGTTGGTCAATTGGGGTCAGCTGTCCTGGCTGTGTCCCCTCCCAGCTTCTTGTGCACCCCTGGCCTCCTCACTGGTGGGGTGAAGGCACTGCTCAGCAGTAACTAAAACATCCCTCTGTTATCAACACTGTTTTCTGCACAAATCCAAAACATAAACCCGCACCAGCTACTATGAAGAGAATTAACTCTATCCCAGCCAAGACTAGCACATTCCTCTTAGTGGATGTATCCATGTAAATAAGTGTGTATTTAAAATACAGATATATTTCTGAGACACAGCGTGTTGCATGAGAACAACAGTGCTGATTTATGCTAAGAGATTCTCTGCAGCCCCTGGTTCTGTTATTCTTTTCTCCAGTGCTGCTGCCAGCCAGGCATTCCTTATTGTGTACTCTGCTCTGTGCTGTTGATTATTCCCTCCTAAGGCTAGTACTTTTCATTTGTCGGTATTGAATTTTATCCTGTCTTTTTTTCCCAGCTACTCCTTAATTTGCTAAGATTATTCTCAAATCTTAAGTCTCCAGAGTGCTTGCAGCACTTACCTCTTTAGTATCCTCTTCAGTTAATAAATGATTTCTCTAATTCACTGGACAAGATAATTTGGAAAAGACTGAATAATAACAGGCCTGAGGAAGACTTCTGTGGAAACCATTTCAGTATACCAAAAGTGCAACACCGAGCCATTGAGAACTTATTTTTTAAATTGGATCTGCTAATCAGTTTGACACCTGTATCTCAAGAGTTTTAGCTAGATCATATTTCTCCTATCTGTGCAAATTATGAGAGACAACTAAGGTTTAACTGAAATATACAGTATTTACCTGTCCATAAGACTAGTTGCCTACTTCTAGATAGAGTCATAGATTAGAACAGTTTCAGTTGGAGGACACCCTAAAGATCAAGTCCAACCTTTGTCCCAGCCCTATCAACAGCACTAAACCATGTCCCTCAACATAACATCTACCTGTCTCTTAAAC